TTGTTCTCATTCTGCTCCATACGGTCCCTTCTATTTTTTCACAGAGATACCGATGCAGATCTGCAGTATATCACTGCGTCAACCGAATTGCTTGTTGTCGACCAGGCCGAGATGTTGCTGATGCAGAATTGGGCCAATGTGCAACAAATAATCGGTATGCTGAACCAGCGTCCCACAAAAGCTGCCTTCAGTTCCGCCGCTCGCATTCGATTGGCCTATTTGGCCGGTTACGGGAAACTGTATCGACAGACTTTGATATTCTCGGCGGTTGCAGCACCGCAGATTATGCTACTAGCTGGTGAATGTGAAAGTGAGTACATGTTCCAATTATTGTTGGCATACAAAAAAACCGGAATGTACTCAGTTACCCGAATGCCTGTGAGTGATTACGACCTGAAATTGTGCGTTTCGTTCGGTTTCCAGCCGTTGTTAGTCACACTGAAAATTGCGCGTTTGTTGTAACGTTCGGACCGGACTAGTTTGGATCGTGAGTCCAAAATCAGCACGCGATAGGTTAGATCACGAGCGGATACAGTGAGTGCAACACGAATACGCGCGACTGCGGTACCCAACGCAATGCGCGAGAGAACCGGAAGAACGCCCTGCTAGAGTCATGCGATCCCGAAACCCAACCGGACGCGGAAAACACGCTTTCACACGAGGTTGTATATCTGTCTGGACCCAAAAGGTGATCGCTGTGGACAACTCATCTCTCCGATACCGGCCGTAACTCACACTAGAGTGTGTCCGGAGCCAAAACCTCGGGATTGATTAGTTCACACTGAAGATCTTCGCGAACATAAAGTAAAACATCGCCATATGTGGGAGGATCGCATCTTAGTAGAGACTTATTTGGGAAAGACAGTTCGGAATCACTAATTGCAACTGACCCACATTTCGGTAACGATAATGATATCCCATTGGTCATATTCGAAACGCCACTTTGGTTCGGAAAATTTACTGGCCAATCCTTGTGCATTGGTGTAGCAACAGTTTAGGTGGCGTCGATGTAGAAATCCCATTGGTTGAGAAGTATTATATTTGTCGACTAGTGTATTGATAGTTTCTTCTAACTGTGGGCTATTTGAAGATCTAGGATCTAGGATTAGTCTCAAGCGCAGTTCTGGCGAACCTCATCTCTTTCTTTCCTGCCACGACTGCAAAACGGTAGTGGTTATTTCCGGAGTTCCACGAGTAACGTTCATTATCCTTGGACCGCTGTCATGGTAGTAGAGTGAACCAGTTTGTACTTTCTGTCTTTTTATGTTTGAAATCAAGGTGTCCCAGCTCCACGAGGTTAGCTGACTACTCATACTTGATCACGATCATACTCCGTCGATTGTCTGCCGCACGTGAACGGTGCACACCTGAGAATCAGGCTGACTTTAGACCTGGTCGAGGTTGTATCCACTACATCTTCACTCTTCGCCAAATTCTGGAGCACCGACATTCCTTTCATAGACCCACAATCTCTGTCTTCTTGGATCTGAAAGCGGCTTTCGACTCAGTCGAACGCTCTAAACTCTTGCGCTGCCTTTCTCTGAAAGGTGTGCCCGAGATTTTTATTTCAATATCACAATCCCTTTATACTAATAGATGAAGTCGAGTCCGAGCTTACGGCACTTTTTCACCCGAGTTCACTACAGAAAGTGGCATTCGACAGGGTTGCCCTTTCTCTCTCCTTTTCTATTTAACTTTGTTATAGATTTAATTATGGAAACAGCCCTATCCTCATGCGAGGATAGCGGTATCGATTTACTCCCGGGTGGCAGGCTGTCTGATCTAGAATATGCAGACGACATTGTGCTAGTAAGTGAAGATCCATGTAAGTTTCAAGCCTTTCTGGATAGTTTGAGTGCTAGTGTAACCAGGTTCGGTATGTGTTTTACATCTTCAAAGTGTAAAATGTTACTCCAAGATTGGGTTGGTCCTACACCCGACCTCGCCCATCACGACGAGACTCCACCTTGACGTGGTGTGGTGGCTTGTGTACCTCTATGACCCAACGAGCTACACAGGATGGCTTTTATCGAGCCAAGGATCTAATCATGCCTGGAAGGTCAATGGGTAGAGGTCAGACGAAGTTCGGTCTCCTGGTCCTCCAAGTTGGAGGTCCGACTTGAGTCGGCATCTCGGTCGATAAAACGCGTTGGAGGAATAATTGATCCAAATTAATTGGCTTCCAATACCCCATCGCTGGTGCTTGATGGTCAAGAATTAGCTGTAGTGGAATGTTTCACCTACTTAGGTAGCTGCGTTTCAAATGACGGTAGCATAGTCAATGAGGTAACCTCCCGCATTTCCATGGCTCAAACAGCTTATGCCGGACTGAAACATCTTTGGTGAGGACGCGATGCTTCGTCGAAATCGCAAGGTCGTGTTCAATGCGGCAGTGTGCGGTCAATTCTTCTCTATGATTGCGAGACCCTAAATTTGCGCGTGGAACATATTCGACGTCTAGAAGTGTTCGACTACAGATGTTTACATAGTTTGACTCGGGTTGGATGGAGCGAGTTTGTAAGCAACTCTAGTATAAGTCGTCTCGTATTTGGTAATGATTCGGTGGATAATTCGTTGTCCCATCGAATTCAGATTAGTCGGCTTCGCTGGTTAGGACACGCATTGCGCATGCCCAGCCATCGTCCGCCGCACCGCGCCCTATTCGCAGTTGCTGATCGAGTTTGGAAGAAACGGCGTAGAAGTGAACAGATGGCGTGGAAGCGAGGCATGAAGAAATGCACAGAGCGATTAGGTAGAATCGGTGTCTCCCGTCTTCCGTTCGAAAGATTCCGCAACTGGCTGGCTGGAGACATTAAAGGATATAGCGACTAACCGACAGCAGTGGCGTTCTTGCTGTCATTTCTTGCCAAGTCAGAATGCTTGAAAAAAGGTATGCATGAACACTTAGATTGTGTACTCTGTGTGTTGAACATAGGTTCTTTTTCTTTGCCTCCCTTCAATCAGACCCAGTCTCTGTCCGTCTTGCGCTTTATCACTTGATTTGTGTACATTGTGAGTTTAGCAGCGATCAGAGAAGTTCGCTTCACTGTATTACGCTGTACAATGATGATAATGATGACCTAACTGAGGAAGTAATAGAGGAAGTTGACAAATTTTGCTCTCTGAGCAGCTATATCTCACCCGTTGGACGCATCACGGATGAAGTGCTGCGGCAGTTCGACCAGTTCTGCTATACGGCGCAGAAACTTGGCCATTAAGGAAACAGGATAAAGGTAGATTGTCGGTGTTCGATCACCGCTGTCTACGCAGCATTGGACGAATCTGGTAGGGCAATCGGACGAGCAATGCTGAGGTTGCGACGCAGAGTTTTAGGTAGTCGACCTCCTTAAATTACGCTGGTTGGGGCATGTGTTAGGCGTGTCACCAGATAGGTTCCCATGGCGAGCGATGTTTTTCGAGTCAGGTAGTGGGTGGAAGAAAGTCAAGGTTGGTCAAGCTAAGACTTGGAATGAGGGTATGAAAACGGTGATCAGGAGATTGGGTCACATAGGTCCCGTTAGACTCCCTGGATGGAGACTTCGGGATGATCATACCCGATGGTTAGGGAGACCGAGTAACATGGCTGGGTGTCGTAAACAGTGGTGTTTGTGCATCTTGTTGATTTCCCTACAAAGTTGGTGTAATGAAATCCTAAATTTTCTCTTCGATCCTACTTGCAACCTTTCCTGTCTTTCTCCTCATGTTCATATCAATCGGCAGCCAAAACCGGCGCACGAAAGTGCATGGTTAATGGTTGTAGAAACTGAGCTGAGCTGAACATGGTTGATCGAAGCGATACCAAACCTGGATTTTACCCGCATACCTCAGCGTTTCCCGGGTTCAAAACAAGATCTCACTCGTCCTCATAAAAATCAAGATTGTTCTCTGAGTTTCTCCGGTGCATCCGTTCCATTACACATTTTTCATTTGTCACACTTCGTTTCGTTGCATGACAATGCCATCGTTATGTATAAAATACGATTTTACTCTATTTATTGCGCATTTCTCTCCTTCTCAGCATACATTTTGAAACAAAATTATCTCCAAATAAAAAGTGCTTTTTTATTCTACTTCCTATTTTCTTCTTGCTTTCAGATTTTCAAGGATTCAACTATATTCCACCACTGCCATGCTATCCCGGTCTATATCCAACTTACTTACCCGATCATGTAAGGATTCCCGGTTTGAAGCCGGTACAGACACAGACAGTGAACGGCGCTCCCTTGCATCCGGCTAAGAAGGCCCGTGTTGTTCCGAGTAACGACCAGTCTGCCCCGGGGTTGCCTGATGTCAAACTCACTCTGATTCCGTTTGCTGTTTTCGGTCAAACGGACTCGGGCCCACAAAATCCGGTCAATTCAAATTCCGATAGCGATGACGAAGATGTGAACGATGAGATGACAATCACAACAAAGATAAACACTCATTCGAACTCGAATCAGCTGGTGGTATCTGCGGGTCCCTTGCCTGAAAAATCGCTAATCGCTTTGAGTAAGTGAATTGGGGGTGTTTCTTCCCACACAAATTCTGTTCTTTCTTCGATACTCGAATCGGTGGTAGTGGCGCAGTGGTTAAGTCACCGTCACTGGCGTGCTTTGGACACTATGGTCCGAGGTTCGAGCCGTGCCACCGCCACCCATCTTTGGTGGTAGACAGCTCTCGTGTCGCTGGGTTCGATACTACGCCTGACCTAGCGGAGCCTTATGTTGTTCGCCATTACAAGTCCGGGGGCTCAGGTTACGGGTTGCCATCACCGAACAGCAGGTCTTCTTAACTATGTGGTTCCACCCCTTATGCTGTTCATCACACCTCGGTGTACAATAAGAATAAACGTCTTTTTTCGGCCTACACATTTCACTTTATCCATTCACACGTACCCTCTGCTTAGGGAACCCTATTCACTACCTTCTCGTGGCGGAGGTGTTTTACCACCAAAGTGAGAGGACGAAAAGTCAACATTCGGGGCTATAACCGGGTTGGTGGACCACTGGTAGGGGAGTTGGTCAAAACCCTGATCCCAAACCAACCAAGA